GAGCGCTGTTTGACGCGCTAAACTTAGCGCAGGGGCTGGAGCAGGAGCGCAGCATAGCGCAGCAGCGTGCGGAGCAGCAGCGGGCGACTGAGTGACACGGCGGTTCTCACCGCCTGAGGKACCGGGAGCTTGGAGGATCTCTCCTCCTCTCCCTCGCCAGTTCCCTCTCTCTCTCTCTCCTCTTCTCCTCCTTCTTCTTCTTCTTCTTCAGATTGGAGACTATCCAGTTGGACAGAGATCAGGGTTGGATTTCGGTGATACGAGACTGTGGTACTTACTTGATTGGAGACTTGGAGATTGTTGAGGTTGATACTCGGCTGCATCGCAGTTGGACACCGGTTACATCTGGACTCGGTTATCTCCGACATTGGTGACCTTTGGTCCTCGACATTTTGATCTTGTTATATGACATTCTGGACTACTATTTCGGGGACCTACCAGACTCTGCCTTGTGACCTATCGGTGTGATCTACCTCCTACCTCCTTCGTCTCTCCTCCCACCTTTCATCTATGTATGTGTGTACGGGATCTGGGTATCGTCTATGCATGACCCAGACCCCACCATCTCATGATTGCATGTGTGTGGAGCGATGCCATGTAGGTCAGTCTATGTGAGTCAGTCCATGTGAGTCAGTTCGTTATCAGACTTCCGCCGCATAAATGCTCATCCTATATTGGTTGATCTTTGGTTCTGCCCATACTCATTGAAGTATGTAACAGTTTTGGTATCGAAGCAGACCAACACAGATCTGCTCACCAGGTAAGACCGTAGATTAGATTATCACGTTTGATCTTCTAATTCGGCGCTGAAGTATTATCAAGTTCAAAGTTGCAAATTTTCTTTTTCTTTCTTTTCGGAATTCTCGCTATTTCGGCATTTCCGTTTCAATTCAGTATTCGGACTTTAAAATTCGGATTTCTGTTATACACGGTATGCTGTTTCATGAGATCCGAGAGATTGACACTAATCCAACATTCTGTTTGATTCGGATTTCTAAGTAGATATTCGTAATTAGGGTTGAATCAGTATCATGTTGAAATTCGGGTTTTGATGTTATTCAGCATTCTTTTTTTTTCGGCATTCGGTTGTAAATCCTACATTTCGTTTTCTATTGAGATTTCCGTTGTCTTTCACTATGGGAATTAGGGTTATGAAAAGCTTTTGGTTTTAGATCAACTTGGGGGAAAACCGAACGTTTTGGGACCATAAATCCGGAAATTTCGCCGAAGCGCGGAAATTAGGGTTGGGACCGAAATTTACGCGAATTTTTTTTCGTTTCTCCTTGTTTGCGAAATTTCGAAAATAGGTTTAGGCGTTTAAAAATCGGATTTTGACGGTAGGAAGTCTCGAAAATTCGCATTTTTGAAAATTCGAGCGTTTTCTTCTGAAATTTTCCTAAAATTTTTAGCACACTAAGCCGTATCTGACCTTAAATTGCAACTACCGGGCAGTCCATTTATTAAACAGTGAACTCCCAATCTCATATTGATCTCAAAGAGACCTAATCATCATACCTTTCAAATTCGTTATTTGGTGATCGTTATTTACAAACATTGTTTACCAATTATCATTCGGATTTATTCCGTGAATTATCATTAATTAAATTTTATTGATTAAATCGTTATAATTCCTTATTACGAATTTTTCAAAGGGTTTACGGGAAATTATTTTTTCCGTTTGATTAGGTGTCTACAGTCCATAAGTGGGACAGGGGATTGTATGTATCTTGCTTGACTGTTCTACCCCTGTTCCCACTCTCCCTACCCCCCGTGTTCTATGATTACCGGGACTTCTCAAGTACCGCATCAGCTCAGACTGATGTCGACAGAACAGGACACCGGGGCACTGCCACGACGCAGTGCCAGAATCGCAGTTCGTACCCGCCCTGCAGTACCTCCAAGACCGAAGAAACTCAGCAGACGGACAACTCCAGCAGCATCAAGTACGGCATTGACGGTACAAGACGCCACCGGAGATCATCCCACATACCCAGTCCGAGGAGCCAATGAGCCCGCGGCTGATTATCGTGGGCGGCTACTGGCATTTTCAGAAGCCGTAGCTGYCGTCGAGACCMGGAAGGAGATAGCAGAGGCAGAACGTCAGCGGCTAGCCAATRAAGCGGCAGMCGAAGCTCAGCGAACGACTGAGACTGWCRCAGCGACACGAGACAGAYGGAATGCCAGYAGCACGGAGTCCTTGATTGCTTGTGAGCATCAGTGGACGACGGTACTCCAAGACATGATCTTTGTGCCTACAAAAGCGCAGGCAGACCCGACACCGGCAGAGGCAGAGAGAAGTAACCCGGCTAACTTGTTGTTGGGCATGATGAGAGGTATTATGTGGAATAATACACTGCTGCAGTCACATTTGCGCGCGGACGTAACGCAGCGACAAACATACAAGAATGATATGACTACGTTAACCACTGCTATCCGCACAGAGGCAATGCAGCAGCAGCAACAGCATCAACTGTTGAACTCCACTGTCACACGCGTCAACAGCATAGAGGCTAACGCCTCAGCAGCGCCAGGCTGCACGACAGACGTGACGAAGCAACTCAACGAGCGCATCGATCACGTCGTCACCATCATCGGCGACATAAGTACGTTCACTGAACCAGACTCGATCAGCAGCACGGTGGCCGCCATCAAGACGGACCTCGCCAAGCTACAGACGAGACCGGAAGCCGCTACAAAGACGTTCAARATGCCGCACTTCGACATCAGCAAGTTCGACGACTACAACAAGTCGGACGCCTTGTCATGGTGGCAACGCTTCCTCACGGAAGCATCATGCCGCATGGTCCCGGCGGACGACATGTTGAAGGCAATATATCTGCAGCTGATTGGRGGAGCGCAGGGATGGATGAACCACCTAGCGGCTACACACAAGTGCACTATCGCCGAACTCCACACGCACATTACGTGGAAGGAGTTCGAGCAGCTATGGTTCACCCGATTCATGGTCCGCAACGTCGTGAAGGCGGCCATGAATGAGGTGTACACATGCTCTCAAGGGAACATGCCAAC